AATCATTTCGGTTTTTAAAGGATGGACGACAAGGTTAAGGATGGACTAGTTCTAAGTGTCGTTTGGTGTTGAAGAGACACTTAAAGTAGTTTAGAACTTTGTTTTCCTTTGGCCGTACTATTAAGGGGCTATGGACTAGTAGCTTAATCTAGGTGAGTCTAGTGGGTTAGTTGTGGTGCACACTTATCAAACCTATCACTAGGTAGCTCAGGAGTAGCCTAAGATCAATTGGAGCAAACTTCACTGACATAGAATTTCGAGTTAGAAGTGAATGGAGGGTCAAATGATTGATCGGACGCTGGTCTGGTTGTGACCGGACACTGGAGGATGAGTCCGGTCAGATCATTTGATCAACTGCAGTCATCTAGTACTGACCGGATGCTGAGTGGAGGTGGACCAGATGCTGGGTGCCAGCGTCCAGTCAACTCCAAAGAGGTTCCAGAGAGGGATTTTTTTGACCGATCGCGTCCGGTCAGTGCTGACCGGACGCTGGTCAGGATCCAGTAACCGAACGGACGCCGAACATCGAAGTGACTAGACTCTGGGTTCCAGCGTCTGGTCAACATCTATAAGGTTGCAAAGAGCATTTTTCTTGACCGGGCGTGTCTGGTCAGTGCTGACCTAACGCTGGTCAGAGTCCGATCAGAACATAACGGCTCTTTGCGGGTATAACTGACCGGAGCGTCCGGTCACCCCGCAGAATGCTGACTCAGCCTCTAAACGTTATGTTTTGAATAAGGGGGTATAAATAGTTACTCCACTCGTCCATGGGAGGGCTCTTGCCTAATTGTTTAGCTGAGAAACACCTTTGAGAATGCAAAGGAGAGCAAGAGCCTAGTGAGGTGATTGAGATTTGAGAATCTAAGATTAAGGTTCTCATTAGTGCAAAGAGAGTAGCAAGTGTGCATCCACCCATCTCATTAGGCTTGTTGTGGTCAAGTAAGAGTTTGTGCTTGTTACTCTTGGTGATCGCCATCACCTAGACGACTTGGTGGTGATAGGAAGTTTGGTGATCATCCGATGGAGCTTGTGGATGACCCAACTCAAGTTGTGAGTGGTTGTGGGTGATTCACCACAATGAAGTGTTGAAGAATCAGCCCGTAGAGAGCACTTGATCCTTGCACGGATAAAGGGGGGGCTACACCCTTGCGCGGGTGCTCCAACGAGGACTAGTGGGGAGTGGTGACTCTCCGATACCCCAACAAAATATCGCCGCGTTCCTTTCTCTCTCTTTACTTTAAGCATTTACATCTGAGCAATTTATTTCATGTCTTTACATTTCTAGAATTGCCATACTAGAGTAGGATTGTAACCTAGGGTGTAAAACTTTTATGCGGTAGAACAATAGAAACACATTCTAGGCACAAGAGGTGAAGTGGGCTAAGTGTAGGGTTTAATTATTGCAAAGAATTTTAGAATTAGCCCAATTCACCCCCTCCCCCCTTCTTGGGCATCTTGATCCTTTCAGAGTGTTCTAGGTCTGTCACTCAGCAAACCCCAGTTTTGCCGAGTGTTAGATCATAGGCACTCGGCAAACGTTTTTTTTTTCATTTTCCTCCTTTTCCATAACGTGTTTTCCTCAATTTGTTCCCATGTACTTTGAAAATACCTTATCAAATTCACTGAATAATATATATTTAATTTTTCTAGGAATATTATTTGATTATTTTATGCAGTTATAGCTCAAATTCAATCTATATCAATTAAAATTCTATAATTGCACTTAATAAATTAAAATTATCAAATGGATCAAAAAATTACCAAAATTTCACATGAATCAATCTTTGTTCTCTATTGCCTATACAAAAGAGTTTTGAAGTCAAACCCCAATTCGACCGTCACTTTGAGTCCAAATCCAACGCTACGATTCTTCTTTTGAGATACTTCGGTATGTAAATATCGTACATGACAGATTATGCAAAACCTTCTTATTTTTTTACCACAGCCTCCACGTATGATATCATGATATCTTAACAAATCTCATGATTTTAAGACTTCGTTTGCTTTTTTAGAATTTAAAAACCATTCGGCCACACGTTTGTGGTTGTGTTTCCTAAACAAGATGTTCAAAATTTCTTTTTATTTCCCGGGTAAGGGCTCACACCAGACTCAATAACATGAATATCATTTTTCTACTTATTTTATTCTATTATTTGAATCACTTGTAGTTCAAATTTGACTTATACCAAAAAATTCCTTAAAATTCAATAAATTAATTAAATATAGCAAACAGATTCAGAAATATATTAAATCTTAACATGGAGTACCACATGTTGTATGTGGAGAGTAGAAAAAGTTTCAAGGTAAGAAGAGAAAAAAACTTATTATTTCATGCAGTTATAGCTCAAATTCAATCTATATCAATTAAAATCCTATAATTGCACTTAATAAATTAAAATTATCAAACGAATCTAAAAAATTACCTAAATTTCACATGAATCAATCTATGTTCTCTATTGCCTATACAAAAAGAGTTGAAGTCAAACACCAATTCGACCGTCACTTTGACTTCAGATCCTACCGAATCATTCTCAACGCTACGATTCTTTTTCTGAGATAATTCGGTTTGTAAACATCATACGTGATAGATTGTGCGAAACCTTCTCAATTTTTTACCATGGCCTCCATGTATGATATCATAAGATCTTCACAAATCTCATGTTTTTCGGACTTCGTTTGCTTTTTTAGAATTTAAAAACCATTCGGCAACAAGTACGTGGCCGTGTTTCTTGAACAAGAAGTTCAAATTTTCTTTTCATTTCTCGGGTAAGGCCTCACACCGGACTCAATAACATGAATATCATTTTTCTACTCATTTTATTCTATTATTTGAATCACTTATAGTTTAAATTTGACTTATACAAAAAAAATTCATGAAATTTAAGAAATTAATTAAATATATCAAACAGATCCAGAAATATACCAAATCTTAACATGGACTACTACATGTTGTATGTGGAGAGTAGAAAAAGTTTCAAGGTCAGAAGAGAAAAAAACTTATTATTTCATGCAGTTATAGCTCAAATTCAATCTATATCAATTAAAATCCTATAATTGCACTTAATAAATTAAAATTATCAAACAGATCCAAAAAATTACCAAAATTTCACATGAATCAATCTATGTTCTCTATTGCCTATACAAAAAGTGTTGAAGTCAAACCCCAATGCGATCGTCACTTTGACTCTAAATCCTACCGAATCCTTATCAACGCTACGATTCTTCTTCTGAGATACTTCGGTTTGTAAACATCGTACATGACAGATTGTGCGAAACCTTCTCAATTTTTACCATGGCCTCCACGTATGATATCATGAGATCTTGACAAATCTTAAGATTTTCAAACTTCGTTTGGTTTTTTTAGAATTTAAAAACCATTCGGCCACACGTTCGTGGTCATGTTTCTTGAACAAGATCTTCGAAATTTCTTTTCATTTCCCAGGTAAGGCCTCACACCGGACTCAATAACATGAATATCATTTTTCTACTCATTTTATTCTATTATTTGAATCACTTGCAGTTCAAATTTGACTTATACCAAAAAAATCCTTGAAATTCAATAAATTAATTAAATATAGCAAACAGATCCAGAAATATACCAAATCTTAACATGGAGTACCACATGTTGTATGTGGAGAGTAGAAAAACTTTCAAGGTCAGATGAGAAAAAAAACTTATTTGCCGAGTGCAAAAAAAACACTCGGCAAAATTATTTCTTTGCCGAGTGGTAAAGGAAAACACTCGGCAAACTTACTTCTTTGCCGAGTGCCGCTAACGAACACTCGGCAAACTTCTAACGGCAGGCACACTAACTGACGGATGTCGACGTGGCGGTTTTTTGCCGTGTCCCTGTTTTGCCGAGTGTTTTTTTCTAGTTTGTCGAGTGGTTTTTTTTCAGCACTCGGCAAAGAGTTTAGTATGTTGAGTGCCATTATTTTGCCGAGTGCGGTTTCTGCAGCACTCGGCAAACAACTTTTTTGCCGAGTGTCCGATGGAATGCACTCGGCAAATATTTTGGCACTCGACAAATCACCTGTTTCCGGTAGGGTTAATCCCAAATACTACTATATATAGCTAGCAACAAATAGTTGTTAATTTCTCAAATAAATTGCAATCATATTAGCTGCACCCTATGTTATGTTCAGTTGCTATGACACATCAGAAATGGTCCTTACACACAATTAGAAACAAGATTAGTAAAATAACTACCGAATTATTAAATAACTGGTGTGTGTGTGTAAATTGTGTTTAGTTCCTACTATCAAGGGCACATTGGAAGACTCCCAATAGGCCAGTACTCCTCATCCATCGATGTATTGTGTAATTTAGCAGCAAAAACGGTCCTTCAAAGTATATTTTGATTTTAAATTTACCTCGCAATGCTGTCTATTACTACAAAAGCTACTTCATCTTAAAATCACTTTGAATAGAAGTATATAATTTGACTAGTTATTGGTCTTACAAAATTTGTCTTTTCTTAAGTTCAAATATGTTTTCCATTGTTGGACTGGATAGAACTTACCATCCCCCACCCAACAAAAAAAAATAAAAAAAATCAGATCCCCGCCGCTAGAACGGTAGAACCTCGATCTTGTCAACCGTTGACTTTATGGCCTGACGACACTGAAACTGCAGTTGTGGAACAAGGACAGCCAAAGGCGTCCGCGAATCATTGTTATTAATCTCTCAAACAATTTGCAAGCACAGATTAAGCGCTATTCATCATCTCATGATTTGTCATTTTGTCGGACACGGTTAACAAGAACCAAGTCAAAGCAACGCAAGCCATAAATAAAACTGATTATCTTATTTATAGGAGGACAAGCAATTGCTCCACACAAATTAGCAGCAACAAGCGTGGTCAGCAATGTCTCGAACCAAACCGAAGATGAACAAATCGAACTGACACACTCCGATCACTAACGGCAGGCACCGCGGGATTTATTGAGAAACCAACGAGTGCAGACATATATTGGAAGACGAAGACGCTGCCTGGTATTCTACATGGGCGCGAAGTTTGCCTTGATGTGCTCCACCTCCCCGTTGCCGATCCGGAAGGCCTTGGCGAGGATGTCGGTGGGCACGGGCGGCATGGCGCCGAAGAGCGTCATGGCGATTTGCTGCGTGCCCTGGAGCTGGCTGTTGAAGGCGGCGACGACGGCGGCGGGGCCGTACCCCCTGTTCTGCTGGAAGTGGACGAGGCCGCGCGGGAAGACGAAGACGTCCCCCATGGTGAGGCTCTTGGTGAAGAGCATGTTGGCGGTGGTGATGAAGCCGACCTCGAGCGTGCCCTCGAGGACGAAGATGATCTCGGTGGCGCGCGGGTGCGTGTGCGGCGGGTTCTGGCCGCCCGGAGCGTAGTCGATGCGCGCGATGGAGACGCCCAGCGTGTTGACGCCCGGGAACTTCTCCACGTTGGCCGCCGTCACCAGGGAGCCCGCCGCGTTGCTGGTGTTGCCGGGCTTCCTCAGCCCGTCGAAGAAGAAGTCGTCCGCCGAGATGTTCGCCTTGCACGGGAACCCATTCAGCTTGACCGCTGCACGGTGCACGCACGCACGCACGGGTCAGAAGTGGAAAGAAACGACTTGAGAAGACCGACGACAGGTTTCGTTTTTACTCACGGGAGGCGTAGTCAGCGACGCAGACGTCCCCTGGAGCATGTCGGGGTCGCCGCCGAGAGCCGGGGCGGCCAGCGCGAGGACGACGGCGCAGGCCGCGGCGACGTAGAGCTGGATACTCGCCATGACCGCGGTCAGTGAGTGGGCGGCCTGCTGCTTCCTTAATCTGCACGTTGGTGAGCGATGAGTAGTGTTGTTGTGTCGTGATGAAATGGGAGCACACTATGAGCCCGTACTTATAGTCAGGGACCGGAGACTACTGGAGCTCTGGAAGGAACCACCGGGAAAGAAGGCGACGACGGGGTAGGAAAAGAAGAACGTGCGAGGACAAGCAAGCAAGACGTGGGGGGAGCGTCGGGATAGAGTTGTTTATGCAGCGTGGGCACGGCGCGGCGTTGATTATTTGGCGTCCGTGCCCCGTGGGCCGTGGGACGACAGCGGCGGATCGATCCGGATGGGACGACGGGCCACCGCTTCCAGTTTCGTTCGTCATCGGCCTCCGTTTCGTCGTCGCGTTTAATTTCCTGCTCCCTTTCGTCGTCGTCAGTGCCGCTGTGCGTGTGGCGTGTGCAACAGGCAGTCCGGCGGGGCCTCGATCATGTGCGCGTTTCCTGCGCCGTTTCGTCGTTCGCACTTGCACGTTGCCTAATTGGATGAACGAACGGTCCGGATCACTAGAAATGGAGCAAGGGGATCCTGCTGTTTAGGCATACATACTATATTCTGGACCAGTTTTCTGATGAGCCATGTTGGCGGTACAGTGGTGCTAGTATATATTGTTAATCTATTCTAATCTCATACTTATAGATCTAGCCGGGTACATATTGTAAATGGATAACATGTCTAGTACATGAACTAGACAGAGATTAGAGGGAGAAGTGTAGTGCTAGGTTACTGACCATCGTAGGACTTCGATCCAGCGGCGTCTGCCATGGGCGTTGTGTCGGTGTCTGCGCGAGGGCAGCGACGGTCGGTGAAGACGGTGGAGTCCGGTGACGCAATCCGATGGCGCAGTTCGGTGGCGGCGAGGCAGTGGAGCTTCCCGTCACTGGCTGCGCACCCTCTAGATCGGATTAGGGATTTCGGTGGGCAGCTCGGCTCAGGCGAACCTCGTACTCAGAGCCGTCAGCCCCCACCTCTGTTTATTGCGCTGTGTGACAGGAGTCCTCCAACCATAGTGGCCTGGGCGCCCTCGATCAGGACGCGGATCAAAGGGCCAACTGGCCGGTTGGGCTCAGCTTAGGATTAGAGATCAATCTAACATATATATATATATATATATATATATATATATATATATATATATATATATATATATATATATATATATATATATATATATATATATATATATATATATAATAAGTGATGATCACAAACAGACCAAGTTGAGGATTTTTCATGCCAATAATGCAGTTTGTTGAATTGGTTGACTAAACAAAACGGATAGGCAGTGATACATACATTTTATAATACCCTGCTTGCCCAGAGGCTAGCTGTCTGCTGTCTCTGTCTGCATTGATCCTCTTTGCACCGAGGATGCGTGAGATTGATGTCGAAAGTGATGGGAGAAGAAAAACGGTAGATCAGCGCGATGACTCCTTCAACCAGGAATATCCTTCCATTCCTTTGCTGCAAAGTTCAGAGAAGAAAAACTGGAGCAACGCCGGGAGACTTCTCTTGTTTTCCCAGGGGTCAAGGCTGAACCAGAGGAGTCTTCCTTCCATTCCTTCGCTGCAAAGTTCGGAGAAGAAAAATTGGGGGAACACCGGGACACTTCTCTTGTTTTCCCAGGGTTCCAGGCTGAACTGGAGGAGTCCGATCTTACTGCCATCAAGAGTGAACAAACTGACGGTGCACCGGTCGTTCCAACTGCCACGGGTTTGCTTGCGAAGCTTGACCAGCGGCCAACGATACGAAAATGAAACATGCTTTATCCTAAGACCAATACTAATCAAATGTGGTAGCTTGTTGCTTGCAACATACCCAAGGAAGCTGCTGCTGCTGCCATCGTCGTCTAGCAGCAGCAGCATGTTCAGACTGAGATTGTTTCTTTGCAAAGAAATAGGGTGAACAAAAGTGGGACTGAGATTTTTTTTTTTTTTTTTTTGCGAAGAAATAGAGTGCTACTAACCACTGCAGTACCGTTTTACTAATTTTACCACTGCAAAGTGCCAACAACAGCCAAGTCCCGTGCTAAATATAAATCGGCCTCTGGCTTCACGGCACGTTCACCAACCCCAACAACCACCTTGCGACGCGCGCGGCCAGACACCGACGCCACAGATGACCAGATGAGACGGTGGCCGGCTTGAACAACGCCACGTACGCTTGGCTGTACCTTTTTAGTCAACGATAGTCAGTCGAGCGACCCTTCGGAAAATGCCAATCATCGACAGGACCAACCGACGCTGTCTTGTTCAAGATGAGACCACGGCGGTCCGGAGTTAGTAGCAATCAGCTCGGCCGTCGCTGTCAGGCACCTGCTGTGGCTGCCGCGATGTGCTTTTTCTGCTGTGGGCCTGTGGCTGCTGCTATGTGCTGACGCGCAGGCGATGGCGAGTGAGTGCACGGCATTTCCCTGTCCCTGACGATTGCCGTCGCCGGCCGGCGCCTCGTCCCGCAGTGCGCTCACCTTCACCTCAGTGGCTTGGTCGCACCTGCTCCTGCCGCCCTGTTCGCCTCGTCTTGTCGCCGTGGGGTGGGGATTTTCTCCCCATTGTTTTGAGCGGAGGTACAGTTAGTTAATGCGGGATTACGCAGGAAAAAATATCGTCTGACACATGCGCATCTCTTGTATACAGCTTTTAGGTTTAGTTAGTTGCAAGGCAGAGCAGCCGTGGGGCGCGCTTGCTTCGGCACCCTGACAAAGCATCGAGTTTGGGAGGCAAGTTTAATTAAGCCCTGTCATACCCTTGGCCGTCTACGTGAGTGCTCAAGCGAGTACAGGGAACGGATGAGAACGCCAGTTAGGACAGCCTTTTCCTGAACGTTTGTCTTAGCAATTGTCTGAATGAGTTCTTGATACAGGAGTCGGGCACGTTATATGCCGATACACTCACTGGCCGCCTAGGCCTACATGACAGATACATAAATGAAAACGTATTGGAAGCAAATATGCCAAGTCACTATGGACACGCTTTCCTTATATGCGCCTCCTGCTTCACTTGTCGTAGTCACCACAGACAGTCACAGTGACAGAGGCAGATGTGGCTCCGCTTTCTACAGTGATACTTTTAGAGTCACAGACCGCACCAGTTAGTGAGCAGACCCAGACTGCTTCACCTTCACTTCCAGCGACAGAGGGTCAGACCGCTCAGAGTTCAGGGTCCGAGGAAAACGTTGCTCAGTTCCAGATTTCTCACCGCACCTCAGCGCCCGACTCGTCTGCTCCTATCCCACCGTCTGACCCTTAGGTTTTTGTGCTTGATGCCAAAGGAGGAGAGGGAGTGAGTATGTTAGATCTAGGAGAGCATGTGATTCGTTTCTTTATGTGTGATACTTTGTGCATTCACGTTTTTTTCATGTATTGCATTACATACTTGTGATGGTGAGACTTATGTGACATGTGTGCTCTCTACATTTGATATCTTTATATATGTCATGTCACTTGGTTATGATCATTTGCTTTGCTTTCGCTTTTTACTCCGATTCAAATGAGCTTTACTTTACGTACTCATGCTTAATTCATATCTATTGAGTACACCATGTTGGCTTGGGTCATATAAGCATGTCTAACCCTTTTGCTCTTATTGTCAAAAGCTTATATGAACCAAGCATGTTGAAAACCTCACTAATCTCTTCTACATACTCGAGGTTGTGTTGTCATCAATCACCAAAAAGGGGGAGATTGAAAGCATCTAGGCCCCTAGTTGGGTTTTGATGATTAATGACGACACGAGATTACTATGACTAACGTGTGTTTTGTAGAGGCAATTTGAGTTAGGTCATGGCAATGGCAATTGATTTGACAATCATGGTTGTTATGCCCCCGTCGATGGAAATCGTTTTGGTTTTCAAAGGATAGACGACAAGGTTAAGAATGGACTAGTTCTAAGTGTCGTTTGGTATTGAAGAGACATTTAGAGTAGTTTAGGATTTTGTTTTTCCTTTGGCCGTCCTATTAAGGGGGTATAGACTAGTAGCTTGACCAAGGTGAGTCTAGTGGGTTAGGTGTGATGCACACTTGTCAAACCTAGCACTAGGTAGCTCAGGAGTAGCCCTAAGATCAATTGGAGCAAACTTCATTCACATAGAATTTCGAGTTAGAAGTGAATGGAGGGTCAAATGATTGACCGGACGCTGGTTTGGTTGTGACTGGATGCTGGAGGGTGAGTCCGGTCAGTTCATTTGATCAACTGCAGTCGTCTAGTACTGACCGGACGCTGAGTGGAGGTGGATCGGACGCTGGGTGCCAGCGTCCGATCAACTCCAGAGAGGTTCCAGAGAGGGATTTTCTTGACTAGACGTGTCCGGTCAGTGCTGACCGGCCGCTGGTGAGGATTCGGTAACCGACCGGACGCTGAACAGCGAAGTGACTGGACTCTGAGTTCCAGCGTCCGGTCAACATTAGTAAGGTTCCAAAGAGCGTTTTTCTTGACCGAACGCGTCTGGTCAGTGCTGATCGGACGCTGGTCAGAGTCCGATCAGAGCATAATGGCTCTTTGCGGGTATAACTGATCGGAGCGTCCGGTCACCCTGACCGGAGCATTCGGTCACCCCGCAAAATACTGACTCAGCCTCCAAACGTTATGTTTTGAATCAGATGGTATAAATACTTACTCCACTCGCCCATGGGAGGACTCTTGCCCATTTGTTCAGCTGAGAAACACTCTTGAGAGTGCAAAGGAGAGCAAGAGCTTAGTGAGGTGATTGAGATTTGAGAATCCAAGATTAAGATCCTCATTAGTGCAAAGAGAGTAGCAAGTGTGCATCCACCCTTCTCATTAGACTTGTTGTGGTCAAGTGAAAGTTTGTGCTTGTTACTCTTGGTGATCGCCATCACTTAGATGGCTCGGTGGTGATTGGGAGTTTGGTGATCATTCGGCGGAGCTTGTGGATGACCCAACTTAAGTTGTGAGCGGTTGTGGGCGATTCACCGCGACAAAGTGTCGAAGAATCAGCCC